GGGCCCGGGGCGCAGCCGAGCACGCTGACGGGTGTCTCCCCGCAGGAGCTGAGCGGCCTCGGGGCCAGGAAGTCGCTGCTGAGCCCGTGAGTGCCGCGGTCGTGCGGGGAAGGGGAGGGGGGGAGGTTGTCGTTCCGCAGGACTTCCCGGCTGAGGGTGCTGAGAGGCGCGTCCTTCTCGTACCGGTTGCCGGGTTTCCATCTCCCTGCGGGCTCAGCGCTCCCGGGGCGGCCGGTGGGACGGGCCAGGGCAGGAGCCGTCAGCTCCCGTTCTCCTGCCGCCCAGGTGCATCGAGGAGCGGTACAAGGCCGTCTGCAGCGCGGCCAGGACCCGCGCCGTCCTGTCGCTGGGCGTCGCCTGTTTCAAGCAGCTCCCGGAGAAGGTGGGTGCGCGGGCCGTGGCGCGGCCCCTGGCTCTCGTTCCCGCCTTCTGAGGCAGCAGCGGGCACCGGCACTCCGCTGGGAGACGGGACAACCCCCCCGTGCTCCGTGGAGTTGCCCCCGGCTCCCCGTGACGGGTATCCATCCCTGTATTGCTTTGCACGCTCTCCTCCCGCAGTCCGAGAACACGTATCTCTGCCAGATCTACAACCTGACGCTGCTCTGCATGGAGGATTATGTCGTCGAGCCCCAGTCAGTGCAGTTCTTGGTGCAGCACGGCTTTGACTTTAACAAGCAGTACGCCCAGGGGATTCCTTACTATAAGGGCAACGACAAGGTACAAAACGACTCTCTTCAGATACCTCAGCTTGCTCTGCTCCCGGCTTCTGGGGAGGTTGCTGACTTCCCCTGGTCCCAGCATCTTCCACCCACAGCTGCTGAGTGGAGCTGGGCTCGCGTTGGGATCTCGAGTGTGGCATTGTCCCTTTCACCTCCCTGCTGTTTTATATCCAGGCTGTCACTTGTTGCAGTTGCTTTTCCAAATATTTAGGCCTCTGTTTGGGCAGAACAAGTCATAGCTGTAGGCAGTATCCTGCTACAGCAGGCTCTGAGGACTTCCCAGGACAATGACAAGTCAAGATGCCAAGGCTCATTGACTAATCCTTCTTCTTGCAGGGCAATGAGAACCAGAGCCAAAGTGTTCGGACGTTTTTTCTGGAGCTCATACGAGCGAAGAAACCTCTTATTCTCCATAACGGCCTCATCGATCTGGTCTTCCTGTACCAGTGCTTCTATGCTCACCTCCCAGACAGCCTCGGCACCTTCACTGCTGACCTCTCGGAAATGTTTCCAGCAGGAATATATGACACTAAATATGCTTCAGAGTTTGAGACTCGCTTTGTAGCATCCTACTTGGAGTATGCTTACAAGAAGTGGTGAGTGGCGCTCTGGTATTTAAAGCTTATGGGAAAAAAAGCAAAGGGAACCTTGGTGTGTTTTCCAGGCAAGGGGGCTGGATCTTTATATTATCCCAATGAGTAAAGAAAAGTGCTTTTCAGGTAACTGCCCTATGCTATTCCCATTTCTAGGACAGGTGTTGAGTGCAGAAGGGTGCGTTTTGTAATACAACTTATCCATTCGGTGGGCAGCTGCTAGAAGAGGCTTCCTGTTTTCTGCTGGCAGCAGTTTTGACCACAGAGTGACTTGATCCAACTGAAAACTAATTGAATTGGTGCATGGCCCTGGTCCAGCAGTGCCATGGGGCCGTGGCAGGAACACATGCAGAAGAGAGACCCTTAAAACTCAGCTAGAGAGCAAACAAAAACAGGGCTGTGCCTGCAGGGTCTGCTAGTTACAGTTTGTGAGGGATGATGCAGTTAAAGGGCGGGTGCTCCCTGCACCTCCCGACAGCAACCAGCTCTGTCACACGTCCTGCATGTGACACTCACATGCAGCCAGCTACAGCTCCCATCACATTCCTTCCAAGCAAAGGTTGTGCTCTTGTTCCAGGATGTGTGTCTGTCTGGCCCCTCATTCTGCACTCCCCACACAATCCAAATAAGCCCCTGGCAGCGATACAACCCCTTGAATCTCCATTAAACTGAAGTCACCCTCTGTGCAGAGGAGAAATAGTATTTTTAGTGGCTGTTTTATATCAGGAAATTCCACACTGACAGGTCTGAAAACATTCAAGATGGCTGTTCTCAAATATGAGAAGACTTTGTTTTGACAATATAAAATACTTTTTAAACTGACCTTTTAAATGTTTTAATCCACAGTTCTAGTTACATAGAGCCTTCCAAAGGTTTTGGGCCTTTTAACCAGCTCTTGGAACAAAAAAGTTATTTTTTTATGAGATGGAAAATGTTTCCTTGTTGTCTATGTTGCCTAGGTTTGACCTGTCTGGGCAGTGGCTGCTCTACATGATACTGTTGTTTTGGGACATTTTTTCTTTGTCCATTAATATTATGAAGACTAACACATCTTAGAGACCTTAATATTTAAAATCAAACTGTGTGTCTTCTTCTCCCATAGCTTCACTGAAGGCACTGTTGTCCTTGCCTGTATGTCAGCATAAGAGAAACAAACCTTTAAAAAAGCATGGAAGCAAGTACTTACTAAAGCTGTTCTCGTGGGACTGAGTTTCTTTCCAGCAAGATGTCAACCTGGGACTAGAGCTCAAGAGCAGGAAACTAGTAGAGTTGAGACTTGGAGGAAAGCAGCACATTTGCCCCAGCTCCTCACTGTGGTTCCTTCGGTGAGTTAACAACAGTAACTGTGTACTCTTGTTTGTTCCAGCAAGCGAGAGAACTGCAAGCTGAAGGAGTCCAGCAGCCAGCACCTCACTGTTGAGTTCTGCAACTACCCTGCCAACATGTCCCGTTACATCGACTATCGCCACTGCTCTCTGGAAGAAGCAAGCCACAACATGGGAGGGGGCAATAACGTGCCTGTCTGTGAGAAATTTTCAGTAAGTAACATGAATCCCTGTGTCCGTCCTGGCCCCATGGAAAGAGCCATGTGTGGTCAGAGTAGGAAGTGGTAGGAAAGCACCTGGGAACTTCCACTTGCTTGCTTCACAGTACAAGGAAGATTTTTCAAGCTTCAGGTGGTTCATGACAGCAAGGGCAATAGCATGCTCTGTTTGGAATTGGTGAATTCCACAGGCTGTGAGAGACATGAAGATTCAGACAGGGATTATGTGGCCTTGAATAGTGGGATGGTGCGAGTTACAGTGCACCATTGCTGTCTTGGGAGGGCTGTAAGTTCTAATCTTAGTTTGGCTTGTCCTCTGAGCAAGAAATGCCACCTCCCCCATATCTTGATTAGATATAAAAAAAATGTTGCTTGTCCGCAGCTTCTGGCACTGTAGCACACTGTGATCCACAGCACCTCAAGTCTTGGTGCTGCTACAGCAGTAAACAAAGAGCCCATCTGATCAGATCATAACTAGTTTCAGATGCTTCAGGGAGAAAGGAGCTCTTCCAAATGTTGCACATTACTGTTGCAGAACAACATATGTTGGGGAAATCTCTGGAAGTTTCTCATCCAACCACCAACTCAGTGTTGCTCAGAGCCTTGTTTGGTGAATTTTGAGATTACAAACCCCCTTAAGACACCTGTTCCAGTAGTACTTCACCACTCATTGTGAAAAATGTTTTCCTATATATCTAGTCAAAATTTCCCATCATCATATCACCTTTCCCTGTGCTCCCCTCAGAGGGGTTCAGCTCCATGTGCTCTATAACCTCTACTTTAGGTACCTGCAGACAGCAACTAGACATCCCCATCCCCTTAGCCTCATCTACTCCAGGTAGAACCCACACACCGTCCTTGCCCTCTCCTCAGACATTGTGTGCTACATCTTGACTGCTCCCTGCTGCACTCACTGCAATTTGGCAGTGCTTTTCCGGTGTGCTGTGGGTCATAACTGGACACAGTGCTCCCCATGCAGCCTTGCAGGTCCTTAGTAGAGGGGAATAATTAGCTGTGCTCCATGTTATGGTGACAGGCTGCTCTAAGTGGGAGGTTGGTGGCTACAGCTGTCTCTCTCTCTCCCTAGGCCTATGGCTGGTGTCCAAAAGGGGTGAAGTGTCCACAGTCTCATAACATTGACCTCATAATTGATGAGGATGACAGGCTTTGGGAGGAGAAACGGAAGAAACGGAAACACAAGTGGAAGCGTCGAAAGAACACAGAGGAGCCTGCTAAAGTGTTCGGAGAGAAAAGCTCAGGGAAAGAAATAGAGCTAACTCAGAATGGAGAGGATGGACCACCACGAAAACAGAGCTGCTATGAGCCTGCAGCTGCTATGGAGCTGGCAGAGATCACACCCAACAGTGAGGGCAGGCTACTGGAGGAGAACTCCACGGACATGGAACCAGAAGTCAGCTCAGGCACTGGCACACAACAGGATCTGGGGAGCACTGAAGGAACTGCTGTCCAGGTAGCAGCTGCTGTGAGCCCTTCTGCCAAGGGAAATGACTCTGCCAGTGACCACATGGAGGGGAGGTCAGAGGTTCCTGCAGGGGTGGGCTCAGTCCATCACCCAGACATCCCCAAGACTGAAGCAGCATGTACTGCAGAAAAGGAAAAGGAAACCCATGGTCCACCTTCACAGGGGGGCACACACCGAGCTGGCTTTGATGCATTCATGACTGGCTATATTATGGCATATGTCTGGATGCTCAAGAAAGGAAAAAACACAGACACCGGTGCAGGGCCTTGGTTGCCAGACTGCCATAATAAACTGTACCTCAGTGGGAAATCAGTGCCACTTCAAATAGTGAAGAGCTTGTTTGCTAAATCTTCCAAAGCTCATAGCCAGAAGATGAAATTGGCCTGGGACAGTGCCTAGAGCTAGAGGACTCATCACTGAACTGGGCTTCTCCCACCCTCTTAGATTTTGAAGTTCTTTATTCCATCAAGAACTGACCAGAAATGGAGCAAGTTTCTCATTCTTAGTTTTAACTTCTGACCAATTAAATTGCTCTCAACTGGAGTTCTCTGTTGTTCCTTTGCAGCATGCTGGGCTGTAAAGGCAGGGGTGAGGCTGGAGGAGGGAAAAGAAAAAATGTACCTCTCCAACCTTTTCAAAGGGAGCATGTGCTAAAGGTTAAAGTCTACCTACAAAAACACATCTGAAAGCTCCAAGCTGTTGACCCATAGAACCAGCTTGACAGGAAATGCTACAAACAGTCACTGGAGGGAAGATGTGATGCTTCTGCCAGACACCAGATGAAAGCAGGCTAGCTCTTCAGGCAAAACATACATTTTTATGAATGTTTACTCAAGTGTTATTGCTTTCAGTCACTGCTGGTAGGGTAACTCCCTCTAACCCTCATAATTATTTCCTGTCTTTCTAAGGAAGTCAGGAAGGAAAAAAAGTGTCTTTTTTTAAAAAAAGAAAGAGACACTGACCATGGTTGGTTTGGAACACAGCTGGGAGAGCTATCCCACTTCATTGTACTTTACCATAATCGTGGTTACAGCACACATAGATGAGACCTTTGCTCCTACAGGAGAGAGGGGAAAGAGAAAGCTTCCTCCAAATGGCCCAGGTGATTCTAGCACAGGGTAACTGCATGCAGAACCAAGCCACAGCAGGTCTTCAAACTTCTAAGCAAGGGGAGACTTAAAGCCAGATGTGGTCCTCAAACTGCACTACTGAAGCTGTTCTGTAGGGCTAGAATAGAGCAGCCAGAACGGCAAGCTCCCTGTAGGCCAAGTGCTATCAAAAGCCATCTTGTCTTGTCAGTCACAAGCTACTGCCTACTCTTCAGAGCGCTGTAAGGCAGAGCAGAGAAGAAAAAAAAATGTCCTTGAGTCTCACACATTTAAGAGTATAACACTTCAGTAAGAAAGATGCAGGAGATAATCAACACTGAAAAAGCATGACAGTTCTCCCTGTTCATAATTCAGCACCAAGTAATAGTGAATACGATCTCAAGCCAGGTATTAATGTCACCCATAGCTTAAGTAAGCATTTGAGTCAGCTTTTTTAACCTAGAGTTGCCCTTTTAATCACAAGACCCAGGCCTTGATTTTATTTTTATTTTGAAAGCAAGTTGGGAAAGTTTACAAAACCGACCAAGAAAAAATTATGAAAATATTTAACTGGATTCATCTTTGGTTACTTCTTATTGCAGTTCCAATAAAACATACACCATTTCTATAGTTCAAAAAAAGTCAGAAGGTCAATCAACATAAAAACAAGACGTGCTTTCTTTACATATTCATAAATATCCACAATATTAGAAAAGTTGTTTTGCAAAGATTTTTTTCTGGCAGTGTTAACTTACTATTATACACAGGCTACAAACTTCTTCCTAAGCCTTTAATTACAAGTTGAGCTATTTACAGACTGCAAAATATTAAGACGTAAAACTCCTTCATAAATACGAAAATAGATCATCTCGCAAAGATCTTTATACTTAATCAAATATCTGGCTGCCCCTCCTCCCAAAAAAAAGGTTATTTGTTTTGCATAGAAATGTAGTGACATGCAATATAAACAATAGCATTAAGTGCAAACAGGAATTATTCAAGTGTCTTTAGTTGTACTGGCAAAAATTACCAATGTTCTGTTACACATAATACATCAATGCCTCTCCAACTAGTCTAAGTCTACTATAGCCCCTTGTCTGCACTGCCTCTGAGGGGCAGCAATTCACATGCATCCTCTTAGTTGCATTTTATCAACCTGCAACCACGACAAAAATAGCTTATAACAGATGTTTAAATGAATTCAACATAGAAAGATTTAAAGTGAATTAAATAATCTTTGATCTCTTCAGGGAACTTAGCAATGTGTAGAAAGTGTTTTAAAAGAGCAAAAACTGCTCCTGTAAGAAAGTCAAAAATCATAAAATCCAATCCCAATAAAACTTTGTCTCATCACTATAAAACAAGGAGTTTTGCTGACCACATGTTTATATTTGTGTTCATCGGTAGCTATCAGAAAATGGCCCCCTGTAGAAAAGCACCCTCAGGTAGGCAGAAAACCCAGGAATAGTTCCTAGGTGCAACCTAGGTTCAGCTTTACATTACCAAAGGGATGAGATGCAGTGAGTGCCAACTGCATCCAGACCCTTGGAAACACTGGGTTTTAACAAGCACTTTGCTATTTTTAAATGGCCTTTTACTCCAGTTTCATACACATGCCTCTCTTCCCCTGCAGACCAAGAATGCAGGAAAGGCCTGAGCCGCTATTCCTTGGCGTTTCTGACATCTCCACCTTGGGATAAGGAGCTAGAAAGTTGCTGGATATGCCCTATGCATGTCAGCTGGTTGTGCCTAGAGTGGACATTTAATAAAATTTTAGCTATGCTGTTTCAGGGAAGGGAAGAGAAGACAGCGTTGTAAAAAGACAGATGAGGTCACTGTGATGGGTGCCAGAGGTACCCCAAGCCTGACCGCACAGGTTTTGCGGTCAGTGTCAGAGGGGGCAACAGGCTTCATGAGGTGTCACCGATGACAACCAGGGCTAATGCAAGCCACAGAGCAGCCAGAGGCGGGCTCCTCGATGAGGCTGCAGGCAGCTGTAGGATGCTGGACAACTTCATCACAGCCTGGTGATCCAGAAGTAAACTATTCCTTATTATTGCTTGTTTGTCTGAAGTCATAAACCTAAATGCATCTTGTGACAACAGAAGCTGGTGCTGATGGTTTCCCTCCCAAAAGATTACAATTGTATAAAAAGATTACAAAAAAAAAAAAAAAAAAAAAAAAAAAAAGCAGGCACCAGGCAGCCAACTAGCTGGCAATCGAGTTCTGCTGACGCTTTCCCTGTCCTCAAAGGAAATTACACACACAGAGTGCCAGCCACACAAGCTGCTCTGCACTCTGCAGACAGCAGCCCTGCAAACAGGATACACAAGACAGACTACTCTACAGATCAGCACCTTCAAGAGGCAGAGAGGTGTGGGCCAAAAAGGGTGATCTTAGTAAGGATAAGCATTTTCTCTTTCAAACAGCTGCCTAATCTGGCATGGACTGTGCTAAGTAATTCAGTGACACCGAGCTTCTCATTTAGTTCTTCACAGCCACTGCAAAGGGGTAACTGCTGCTCAGGTTAACACATACTTCAAGTGAGGAAGTCATAACTCACAGAATAGTTACCTACACCTCTGGAGAGATAAGCATTGCAGCCAAGAAAGAACTAAGGCTTTATCCTTCATCCTTTCTTTGAGATAGGAAAAGAGTAGGAATAATCTTGCTTCCATCAGAAACTAGCTTACATTTTCCATCCTTACAAGTGAGCAGGAAGAGTGTGTTAACAGGCTACCTGGGTGAAATTTTGGACTCCGCTGCATCACCATCTGCTCAGCAGGTATGCAATGCACACCTCAGTTCTGAATGATAATAGAGGTTAAAAAACATTTCAAAAAAATATTTTCAAATCCTGTGTTGGGACAATGATAATGGGAAAGGGCAGGATGTTGCACAAATGTCATCGTATAACAAGCTTTCCCATACATTGAATCCCAGAGTGGGGATCTCTGATGCTGGTTCCAGCAAGCAGCATTAAAGCTTATGCCACTGCTTCTTTCATGTGTACCTGCTGGTGGAGGGAGGGAAGGG